AACCCCCCCCCCCCCCCCCCCCCGCCTGCAATAAAAACACAAGACCATAAGTTCTTTATACATCAACCATAAAATGGATTTATTTCACCAGAGGTCCAAACATATTTCTGTGTCGCCCCAGGATGCATAGAAGGTGTCAGTGTCGTCGCAGGAATTCAACTTCCACTTCTACAAACCAGCGTTTACAATCTAAATGTTCTTTTGCTCAACCATTGGTTTGACTATAAAGCCGCGTGTAACTGTTCGTCATGTCACACAATATCAAAATGCCACCGTCTAACTGGGACAACCCTACAGTCTGTAAAAGGGAAGGGGGGGGTTTAAAAAAATAATTCCATCTTCATTTGAACAAAGGGACAGGTGTGGTGATGGAGCTGGAGGAAGGAGCGTAAGGCTACCGGTATAGGTTGGTTGGAGAACCCCCCCCTTGTGTTTTGTTACACTATTACACATCTCACTCCACATAGAATATGTGGAGTGAGATGGAAGCTTGCACAAAAGCACATTGTCAACATGTACTTTTGCCTTCTTAAGACGAGTATTCCCTATGTGGGTCTGGTTTGTGCCATTGAGACGGACAAACAGACGGGGAATCTGCCTTTGCATGGATCTGGTGAGGCCCCAGCACCTGAAACTAGCTGAAGGGCCAAATGAAGGTTAATAGAAGACGAAAAAAGTGGGGAGCGTGTTAAAGGAGAAAAGAGAGCCGGGTTTAGTGAACATTTCTGCGGGAAGCTGGACTGCTGCTGCATTTTTTTGGGTTAAACCATCTAGTGCTGTCAGGTAAACACCCCCCCCATAACAGAATGTTATGTTTCACTTTAGAAAAACAACATAAATCAGAAATTAGAAGTCCAAACATAAGTCTGTGTTTTCTCCTCCCTCAGAAGGGGCAGCAGCTTTCACAGGGCTGCAGTTACTCAGCCACACCACCGGGTGGAGGGGGGGGGGGTGGAGGGGAAGGGTTGGTCTTACACTCTCCCCCCCTCAATTTAGCCGCTGGACGATGACTGCGTTGAGGAGGTTAGCCTGCTCCAGCGTCTGGCCCTCGTCCGACAGCTCCTTGTTGGGGAAGGTGGTCATGAGGACAAACTCTCTGGCAGCCATGGCGGGCCGGGCCCCCACCAAAAACTGGCGCACATCAGACACCCTGGGGGACACAACACCACATCAAAACAGGAAATGTGGGATGACTTTGAGTCATGCAGTTTATCAAATTTTAAATCGACTTCCAACGATTATGAAGACAAGACAACGGACGTTAGACAATTATTGCGCCGCAATCCGTTTCGCTATTTTGTTTTCTCCTGTGTCATAAAATCCTGCGCAGCCCTTTCCTTTACAGAGGTGCACTCTGGCCCCACTCGGCGGGTCAGGGACAGCCACTCAGAAACTCTCCCCGGTGGTGCACGGCAACCGGCTCTAGTACGGCTTAAAGCGCAGGGTGAAGGAACGCATCATTGACTGCAACTGAGGGTCAAACTACAATAATTAACTTCTCGTTGTTTTAGACCAGCAGCATACCTTACACCTCCCGGGACACCTCGTCATTTAACGTTCAATTTCTCTGCATTTGCAATCGAAATAAACTTTTGTTTCAACATTTTCAGCAGTTGGGCATTTTGGGTTGAATAACTGGGGAAACACATGTAGGTCTGTTACATTAAATGGGTCACTTAACATTTCCACAGAGCTGCAGAAACACAAGACAGGGTTCATACACATTTTGACCAATGGATTTCTATGACTTTTCCATGACGTTTCCATGAATCTAAACCAAATTTTCATGACCAAACATTTTGTGAAATCTCGGTGTATACATGAAAAAGTGAGAAAATGTAGTATTTAAACTAACAATGAGAATTCCAAAGCATACAGTATACCTTAAATGACAAACAAATGAGAGACAATAGTTTAATTAAAAGAATAAACATTTATAAATATACTCTGGTTGACAGGCATTCATAACAGTGACACATCAATAAGAGCTTTAGTAGGTAGTAGCATCCAGCTAGTGCACATATTGCTTTCCCTTTTGTAGTACAAATTATTCATTGAACCCTGTTACTGTATGACTTAATATTAACTTCCACTGTTACTGTAAAGCTGTTGGAATTGCGGCCTATCTTCTATTTGCAATTAATATGAATTCAATCCAGTTAAATTATTTAAATGAAAATGATAATCTACTCTGGCTAAAGTAGTTTATCAAGAGTAAAATAATAGCTGTGATCTATACACACCTCTGCATTAGCAACCCGCTGAAATGAAGGTACAGGCACCTTAACCCTCTCATTACTTCAGGGTTCTTGAGAGCAACGTGGGACTGTTGGGACCGTTAGTCCACTGGCTGTGGTCATCACAGTGAACAGTGTCTGGCAGAGTGATGAGAGGACATGTGAGCCCTTGTTGCTGTAGTTCACCTCCTTGGAACAGAGGCTACATTTAGCATACCCTGCCTTATCAATGTATTTAAAACACTGTGACAGCAGGAAGCTGTACTCACGTCTATTTAGACCTCCACCTTTATCCAGGCCCAGCTCCACTCACAGCTCAGCCCTGCGTCAAGCTGCGCCACACAAACAGCCTCCTCTTCCTGAAGCTCTTTGACCTCATCATCTCATCAGTATCTGGGCCTCATGTTTCGTGGTCATGAAAGGTATTTTGACCACGAAATCATCCTCATTCTACTTTGAGTTAAAACAAACAACCTGCAACCAGATGCGCCGGTGTTCTGGTTTAACGTTAATGAGTGACCGCGTGAACTGAACCGGAACACACGGGGTGGTGCATGTTTAATCACGTTGCGCTTTTTCCTTCTAAATCGCGATAATGATGAACGTTAGCAGTCGACAAAATTCCGCATGCTGTGGACGTTAACTTAACCCAGCAAGTCTGAACGGTAACGGAACATAACGTAACTTAAACTGTAACGGAGGGAAATGAAGACGCTGTAGACATCTGAACGCTGATTGGCCAAGACTCGACACATCAAAGATGTTCTATTGTGAAGATCACAACATCACCTTTTCTCCTCATCTCACTCCAATCTGAGAAAAGCTGGCTGACAACTCACCGTAAATGAACGACATGAAAATATGAATATAACACATTTCCATGACTTTTCCAAAACTTTTGGGATTTTATTTTTTTCCAATAACCATTTTAAAATTCCATGACTTTTCCAGGTTTTCCATGACCATACGAACACTGACAAGAGACAACTGGAGCGGTCAGATCTAGGTTCATGTGCTACTACAAGTTGAAAAGAGCTAATCGATCACCTGTGGCTGTAGTTGAACCTTTGGACCAGCCTGCCGCCGTCGGCCAGTCTGATCTGAATGTTAGTGACGGGCTGGGAGGAGTCCAGCGTCACGGAGGTGCTCGCTTGGGCCTCGCTGGCGGCCTGTTCCTGCTGATAGGTGGCCGGAGCTTCAACCAAATCTGGGGTGACACTAGAGGAGGAGGAGGATGGAAAAAGATGAGAACTCACTCCGACTTGACACTTTGTCAAACTGTGGTCGTACTATACTGAGACAGTGAGCTGAGGTTTGGGTTGAGCGATACGGAAACAATAAAGAAAACATTTTTGACCAAATGCACTGATATTTGGATGATATTGCAGGGCCGGTGCTTCTGATAAGTATTTACAAAATGACATTTTTGATAAACAACCATCAGTAATGTGGATACGATGACAAGGCAACCTGTCAGATCCAAAATAGGCCAGTTTTACCCTTTTACTTATATATTAACTTTTTCAAGAACAAAAGGCATGCTGGGACATTTCCTGCTCCAGTTTGGTTTACTATTCCAAACATTTCCTATCATTGCTGTTAATTAAATTGCTGGAGAGATATTAAACATTTCTAACTAAGGACAAAATGACCATCGCTGTCCTGTGAAAGACATGCGTCTGAACTAAGAGGAGCATACCCGTTTGTGACTACGCTTTGTTCAGATAATCCGAAAGTTTAACACGGTTTATTTAGCTTCAGACGTCTCTCAGCTTTGAGGTTGTAATACATTTACACAACATAGCTGTTTATGCTATGTATACACATCTTTTTGTTTTCTTTAGCATATTTAAAAAGCACTTGGTAACCTTGTTTGGAAAAGTGCTACGTCAGTGCATCCTCAGTAAATGTAACACTTAATCCCTCAGTTCATCTGGAACAAATAACCATAGAATTGTCAGATATGTGGCTACCGTAAACATGTAAATATGTTTGTGCAGAATACCATATCGCTGACCCGGAGAGCAGCAGAAAATGGATGGACGGATGATTGAATTCAATGAGGTTCATTTCACTGCGATATGAATTTGCTCCAACAGCGTCACGTGATTGATCAGAAACCAGTCATTTATCTGGAAGCCCAGAAACAAAGCCAGCACCCAGTCTAGAGATGATTAAGTCCCATGTAAAACAAGTAAGACCTGTTCACCAGCCGTTATTTAGAATGTGCATCGATTTCAGCAGCTGTTCTTTGATCTCACCTTCCCAACTTCTGTCCTTCGCCACCGAAGGCCTTGAACACCATCCTGGGTTTGGAGAAGTCCTCGTCCCTGTGGTCCTCCATGTCTAGGTTGACCTGGCCCCCTCGGGACCGCTGCCTCAGCTCCAGGGGAATCTCCCTGCAGGTGAACAAGGGGAATTCTGCTCACAACGCATGTACACATATTTACCAGGGTTGGGAGGGTTACTTTAAAAATATATTTATATATATATTCCTATACTACTAACTAACGGATATACAGTTCACCTGTTTTTGTATCCGAATTACACAACCCGTTTCTCCCCGAGCCTGGTATTTACATGTAAACATTAAGGACACAGTGTGTCCTCATGCATCTATAATCAATCTAAATATAACTTTGAATAAGTTAACAGAATATTCTCACCCCCTTCTGATTGCCTCGAGGAAGTTGGAATTTCCAGGATCGCTGTAGTTTCTGAGCTCACCGTTATCCAGACTGAAACCGGTCTTCCACAGCTTCAGCACCACGTGGACCTACAACACACACACACACACACACACACACACACACACACACACACACACA